ACTATCAGCTGGGGTCTGCTTTTAGTGCTAATTAGGTTAGTGGTGCAACATGCAACGAGCGGAGGCAACTGCAAATTATGCTTGCTGACATTATCGCTGCGTGTTAAAGAGCAGAGACAAGCAGGCGGCTGACTTGGTAGTCGAGCTCATTTGGCCAAAGAAGTTAGCGAGAATAACAAAGTTAGACAACAACTATTTTGTGGGTGGCGGCGCGTGGTCTGTGGCAAGGCGGATATGGCAAATCAGCTGGCTTATCAACCACAACAAACGTGAAAACCATTTCCGGGTTGGCCAAGTCGCCAAGTCACAAAGTCTAGCTGGAATTCAAGCAACATTTGTTAGCCATTTTTATATATACAGGTAAACCCAAAGATATATATTTAATTATATAGTATTTTATTAACTCTAGAGAATTACTTAGAGGCGAATCTCTGTTATCGACTGCATAATAGTCGTTCGCTATCCAAAAAGTAAATCTATTAAAAAATAAGAATTCATAAATTGTCTTTAGGTAAATGAGCTCTGACCCTGCGGATGATATAGTTTTTATATATAGTTGTAGAACCGTTCACAAATTAATTCTATAATAAACGTTTTCATTCATCTACCCTACCCGACTAGGAGATACCCTGAACCCCAAACATAGCTACAATTCCAATTAGTCCAAGCTTCTTTTATACATATATGATGCAAGTTATAAACACCTTTATTCCTCATCTTCACCATTGTCGACTGAGAATATCCCTTTTTATTACGCTATTTATTGCAAGTGAAGCTCAATGAAAGCAATTCAAATTGAATTTTCCATATTATGAATAATTTATCTAATAAATATAAAGATATAAATATTTTCGACTTAAACAATTATATTCTTCTTTTTGGCTAAAATTGGTCAACAACTAATTGGCAAGGGTTTATTTGTGTGCCTTCCATTCCAGGCCAGTTGGCTAGCCGCAAAGAAAAAACAAAATCAAAACCGAAAACTATTCAATAGCTTGGCAAAGCCTGATTGACAGAGGCAAATGAAGTGCTTCTCCATTTGAGAATTCATTTGAAATGTTCCCAAAACCGGAAACCAAAATAAAATTGAAATTCTAGGAATGTGCAATGTGTGGTCAAATGATATCTGAGCCGACTGCAGAAAAAGTGACGTGGTAGTTGGGGATTAGGCGGAAACGAATTCAATTGAATATATTTGACAAAGTGCAATTGACAAGGTAAATGCACTTTAGACAATTTCAGTATGTGCATTCCAATTGACATATATAATTGAATATTTACATGCCTGGCTCGAAGATTCGATTGAAAGCATTTCGTTCGTAATCGTAAGGCGCTTAAATGATGTAGAATGGATAATGCACAAGTGCAGTAAAATCAAGTAAGAAAGCTACATCTATTTGCGAGTGCCTGACTAGGAGATACCCGGCGCATACTGAGAGAGAAAATGAATATAAACTTTATGGCATTTGCCACGGCTCAATCTCTTTCTCAAAGACTTTATACCCTGAATTCCAATTTTCGATGGAAGCAGAGCATAAAAATGTCGTATAGAATGTCCCACAAGCTCTGCCCAAATCTCAGCCAGAAAACAAAGTTGGAAACAAAAATATAAAATCAGCACAAAACACATTTCACAAGATACTCAAAGAAGAGAAATTACTTTGAAATCAAATGCCTCATTTGTAAATTTAATAATTCATTTGCGTCAACACGAAAGCAGTAAAAAGCGCTGATAAAAAGAAAAAAGGGTATGAGACAGTTATATAAAATGTGTGCTAACATAAAAGGGTTGATTAAGCTCAGATAAGTTAACTGCAGAACAAATTGGGATCAATAAAAAGTAAATGAATTTAAAGATTTAGAACAAAGTAAGTTTCCATATTGTTTAGGCTCAATAAAAAAATATATATAAAAGCACTATTAAATACTTTAAAAAAATTTGAATATTTAAAATAATAAATATATAATAATAATAAAATATTACAAGCAAAATAAACTTCATATATGAGTAAATAACGGGCAAAATTAACAATTTTAAAGTTAAACAATCATATTTTATTAAAAATTAAAATATAATTAGAAGAAATAAATAAAGAAATGTATTAAAGTAATAGTGAAAAATTTATTTATAAATACATACAACATTGAGAAGAAGAAATGAAAGAAACAAACAAAATAAATATACAGAAAAATATATTTCAATATTGAAAGAAGAAATGAATGAAAATACAAAATAATTATACAGAAAAATATATTTCAATATATAGAAATTTCAATATATATTTAAAATCAGGAATATATATATAGTTCATATGCCACTCGTGTATATAGAAGTGCCTGCTACACATATTTACACAAAACATCATACCCTGTTAGCTCACATATTCAAAAGAGTCTTTTACATATACATGAAAAACTCCTGCTGCTCATACCAAATGCCTGACCAAATGCAGCAACTCTTTGGCAAGGCAATAAAACCCAAAAAGGACAAACAACTCAGCACAGATTATGCATGTGTGTGTGTGAGAGAGTGTGAGTTTATGTGTGTATGCCTGAAGTGTGAGTTGCCAGCGAGCCGACATATAGCAGACCCACAACGATGTCGGCCGGAAGCGGAAACTCGCGCACACAGACACAAGTGGAGCGCACACACATACGCGCAGCGACGCCCACAGCAGCCAAAAAGAAAAAAAAACAGAAGAAAATGAATTTTAAAAAAATAAAACCCTGCAAAGACTCGTAAATTTTTAAACCCAACTTAAGTTTAGCAAACAGCAAAAGCAGAAGAAGAAGAAACAGAGCAAATACACAAATTCTTAAAGCTGACGCCTGACTTAATTGCCAACAATTTCAATGGCTTAAAGTAGATAATTTTCTGACTTAATTTAAGCATACGTTTTGCCATTGCCTGGCACGTGTCAGCCAACTAGCTGCAAAAACTATCTTGACTTTGTTTTCCTTTGCTGCAAATGCGAAAAAACTTTGCACTTTTACACTTCTTTTATTGCTATCTCTCTGCACTTTTCTTGCTCTCTCTCCGTCGCTCTCTCTAGGGTTTTCCATCCACTGCTATATATCTTATGGTGCGCTTGCAGGTATGAGCTATTCAATTACATTTACCAAAACAATGAGTGCAATTAAATGAAATTATGTATGGCTCGAGTTAAGTGCAAATGACTTTGGGACATCCTTAAGCAGAAGGTGAGAAAATTTATAGAAGATGAAAAAGATGAGGAGGAAATAATTTGAGGAGATAGTTGGAGAAGAAAGTTGGAGGAGATACTTGGAGTGGATAGGAGACAGTTGGAGGAAATAGTTGAAAGAGATAGTTGGAGGGTGTCGTAGGAGGAGATAGTTAGAAGAAATAATGATAGGAGATAGAGAAGAAAGTTGGAGTGGAAAGTTAAAGGAGATAGTATGAGTAGACGACTCGAGTTGCACTGTTAAGTTTAGCTTCATTAACAATGCATGACTTCATTAATAATACAGGATGTATAAATGAATGAAAACAAATAAATTTTTAGTCAAATTCACTAAGGAGATTATTAGACTTAAACTTCTTAACCTCTGCAGGACTTAATTTGACATTTAAATTTCATTTTTACATTACAGGAAACAGAAATATCCGCAAACAGCAAGATAGATATTAAAGGCAAATAATAAAGTAGTTTCTATTTATGAAACATTTTCAAGCAAGGGTAAAATTGAATGCTTTATATAGAAAATGAAAGACAAATTTTACTCAACTCTAATTAATGAAGAGGGGCAAACACAGGTGAACACATACACCAACACACATAAAACACACTCAGTCAGCAGAGACAGCGAAAATAGCTATCAAGTAATTAAAATGCTCATGAATCAACATTTGTATCAAACACACTTCTACCATATACCAAAGGTAAATATTATATCATTGAAAGCGAACTATGTGGCCAAACAAATGTCAACATAAATAGTAAAGCGAAAAAACTGAAAGCAAAAGCAAAAGCAACAAGTGCAAATTGTAGATAAATATTGTGGCAGTTGACAATTTACAGAAAGAGCAAGATAACAGTCAACAGCAACATCACCTGAAAAAGTAGAAAAAAATGTTAAATTAACAAGAATTTCTAAAATATGAAATAAATAAACTGAAACTAAAAACTAATATTATTTGTGCATTCCTATTAGCATAAATATTATTGTAAAAGTAATTTTTTGTAGCTCATACAATTTTCTATGTATTTGAAATGTTTATAATATTTTAACATATTTTTTCACACATTTTTTTCTTGCCCACGTGCATAGCTTATTAGCTAAACACACATCCTACATTGCGTATGCGCAATTTGCGTTTGTAAATATTTACCCTAATATATGAATAAAAATAAAAAATGAATTTCTAAAAACCCTCTTCATATTTGCATATTAAATATTCTTGGCCGTGGTTTCATTTAGCTTACTTTACAAATATTTCATTTGCTAAATAGGTTTTTTCTGCTTTTGCTATAAAGCAGCTGCGTCTATCTATCTACAATAACTAGAGTTAGCAAGAGCAGAATATAGGTAGCTGATGCTTTTATGTCTTTTAATTGAAAAGGAAATTATTTTATATTTTATACCAACAATCAAAGCTTACCTCAAAGCATCGTGTGTTTTTTTAGCTTAAATATTAAGAAAATAAAATATTTTATATTTTATAACAATTCAATGTATTTTATTTTATAGAAATTTGAATGAAGCGCAATCTGGAATATAAATTTTTACAATTCGCACAATCTTCATCGCTAGTAAAGAAACGTGAACCTTTATATATACTTATATATTTTTTTGTAGCGACGATCAACAGTAAGATGTTGTGTTGCTATCTGAAGAACTGAGCTAGGCATAAAGTAGTATAAATAGATACAGATAGCAAGCAGAACATTGTCTGTATATTGTCTATATATACACATATCTACATAGAAATATTTTAAAATATGAAATGAAAATACTTGTCTCATTAGATTAATCCTTGATTATTTAAACACTTAATTACACTTATTTACTCGCAATAAATTCTCCTACTGCTTCGAAATTTTACGAAATAATTGAGTAAAAATACAGTTTGATTCCATGCGAAAATCGCTTTACTTAATCCAAATGGCAGATGATCGAATCTTCCGTCGCTTTTGCGACACAAAAGTTAGCACTGGACGCATCACAGAAGCGTCCGGCGGGACAGGTGCCATTCACAGTTGTGGGCGTCGTGGCGCCAAAACAAAAGGCGAACGTGGTACGTGAGGTGCAGGCAAAAACATTGTTCGCATTGCACCGGCCGCAGCTGTCGGTGTCGCCGCAGCTGGCTGGCGTTTCGGAGCGTTGAAAACAGACTTGCGGCTTATCCGTGCAGACCAGACCGTCGGGGCAAGGGAAGATTTGACTCTGGTCCGGCGTCTCCTTTCCAAAGCACATATGATATGCCGTCTGATTAATGCAGGCGACATCATTGCTGGACTGGCACAGCCCGCAGCTGCCGCTGGCCAGCTGCAAGCGCCAGCCAAAGACAGTCAGCACTGTTAACTGCATAAGCGCTTTAGTTATTCATCTTATAAATATTACGTATACGCACAGCACTCACCGCAAACAAAACACTCTTCATCTTAGCGCGAAACTCAACGAGCTACAATTGAATACAAGTCGCGAGCCACAGCTCATTTTTGTACAATTTCTTTCGGCTAAGCAACGCCTTGACATCAATTTATTTATCTGTCTGCTTATCTCAGGCACAGCCAAAATTTACTTAAAATTTGCGATTTGATAAAAGTTAAAGTAACAAAATAGAAGCCAAACCCCAAAAGTGTTCAAGGCTTGGTAGAGTTTTTTCTGAAATTATTTTTTATCTATTATTTACTTAACTATAAACTACGAAGAAATGTCATAAAGTTTAACTGATCCAGTTCTCTAGGTCATTTTTTTATATAGCTAAAAGGTATGAAGAGTATGAAAAGTAAGATTATGAGTAAGCATTAGATATGAACATGTGTATCTATGTCTATATCTCTCTTAATAACGGAATGTATTCCATGAGCCTATTGAAAGTGAGAGTTATACTCCAGAAAGCATATTTTATCTTGAACAGGCCGATGAGCTGAAACGATCTACCCAAGTACGACTGTCCTTCTGCCAATCTGCATGAACTCCGAGACGTCATAAGCCAAATCAGCTAGAGATTTGTCCTTTTAAATGTTTATTCCTCTATACCATACGAAATTTGAGTTGTTATCGATAATTATCGATATTGTTTTTTTTATCGAATTTCATTTAACGTAGCTTAAATACTATTATGCCTATATATATTTCCAATGTACTCTGTATACCATTCCTGTGTTGAATACAAAGCTTTTATATTTTATATTTTTATAATATTTTATTATATTTTATATTTATTATATTTTTATTTATTTATTATTTTATTATATTTTTATTTATTTTATTTATATTTTATATTTTGTGTACTTTTCACTTGTCCCTCAATATTTCATGGTGCAAATTTGCACATGTAGAGCACTTCTACATAGAGTTCAGGGTATCTTCTAGTCAGGCACTCTCATCAACAACAGTCTTACATGTTTTTTCTGCTGTTATCCAACACTGGCACAAAAATCGGTTTTGTGCGCGTTTCACAGGGCAAAATGAAATTTTCAGTTTTATAGCCAAAAGGCTGCAAACAATTCGCATTCGCATTCGCATTCGCAGCGCCAATTGGCCATTCAGAGTGAAAAACTTCGCCACACACTAATCATGGCGAGCTCTACGAGCTTACGGTTGCAATTGGAATGAAGCTGCAACTGTTGCAAATGTTGCAAGCGGCTGCGACTGTTGCCACAGTTGCAATTATGTAAGCCCGAGAAAAAAATTATAAGCATCAGCATGATAGACTTGAAGATGCGCTGTAAAAGAGTTTCAGTCTAAGAGTGGCGCATATCCGACTACATAATACTCGCGCGTCGTCAAAGGAACTGTTAAATGCATTCAAAAATCAATATGAAATAATAGTCTGGAATTTATCGTTGCTTTCCGATATTCTTTCAACTTTCAACTTTTATTCATTTTATGAATAAAGTTGGTTTCTCTTTCATAACTCTAGCATAACCCGCTCCTAGCCATTCGCACTGGGTATACGTGCCTGAACAATAGCAAATCCGTTTCTCACTTTGGCGGATGCGCATTGTAAGCGAATCAATTGTGCGTAATGACAAAATTCGAATCGCAGGTAACAGGAAATCTCCGAATCAAGCCATGTGCAAATAAAACTTTGCGAAATTTCGCAAAAATTGAAAATCTATAAAGTTAACTTCGCTACTTGGCATATGAAATAATTTTAGCCTACAATTTTTTAGAATCAAGATTTTTGTTAACGCTACCCATAAATTTAAAACGAACTAGAGCATTCTTTAAGCTAAACTAGACTAACTAAATTAAAGTAAAATAACTAATAATTTATGTGGGAATGCACAACTAAAAAATACCCCAAACAACGTTGTAAGCAGCTGTTTAAATTCAATTCTAGCTTCAGTCCATGTATATATATATATATATATATATATATATATATATATATATATATATCCATGTATATATATATATATATCTATGTATATATCTATCTATATATATCTTCCATATTTTTTCTTTCATCTTCTATCATTCATCTTCTATCTCTCTCTCTCTTCCATCTTCTGATTGTATTTTGATATAGATTTTTATCAATTTTAATATGATCTGCACTTGCCTTAGTAGAGTCTACATATATATATCAAGTTTTTAATCGATGTAGATTTCACGATAAATTTTACTAAAGAATATGTTTTTTGGTAAAGAGATCTATTGCTGAATTAATATGAAAAAAGCTTCAGAAACTCGAAACACTTAAGTTTATGTATAATCTATAGCTTTCGTTTACTCTGCGAAGTTTCTTTTTAACGATATATTTAAAGCTCTTTTCATCAACGGACTGTAAGATACACAGTTGACTCGAGCAGAGCTGCTTCAACTTCTTGACTGTCTCAGTCTCTATTCATAAAGTTTTCAACACACATACACCCACACCCACACTCACAATCAAATACTTTAAGCTGAGCACTTTTTCGCCAGCTTGTTGTTTGGCCCAGAAAAGTGGTCTAATAAACGTTTCTCTTCTTCCTCGGTTTTGGCCAAATAAATCAATGCATTGCTTGACTGCTCGTAAATATACAAGCATCAGGCACTGTGCGCTCAATGTACGAGTGCCTTTTGTGTGCTTGACTGCAATTTGGCCAGAGTTCGGGCCAACATTTGTCCCGGCCCAGCAAAACTGTCATTAAGTACTTTTGCAAACCAGAGCCTCCGAGCCGAAATGTGATTTATGTGGTGCATGCCTCCGGGAGGCGCTCAATTTGCCCCATCATTATGCAGGCCAGGCAATTTGTCAAACTTGCCCAGAGTCGAATTTCTAAAGAGCCGATTCGAGGGCCAAATGAACCAAAATAGTCGCTGCAGACATTTGCCAGGCGCCGTAATTAGATGCACCGAATATCTTCTTCTTCTTCTTTTTCTTTGCTTCTTGGTAATGGCCAAGACAAGAGCTTGACTCAATCAAATTGGCGTGTCTGTTGCATAACTTAAGGCAGCGCCAAGACGCATATATATTTTATCGGCGAAAAGTATTCATTGAGCTCCATCATTTTTATAGCTTCCACTAGGCCCAATGCATACTAAGAGATGCAAAAGCATTGCTGACAATTGGATAAGCACATAGACCGGCCAGCCAGCCAGCCAGCGGGTCGTAAAATTTACTGGTAATACAACATATACTTGCGTTGAGCCACGGAATTTGTAATCAAAATACAGCCCAAAGGCAGCAATGTGTAAAATATTCAAATTTGGGCATAATAGCGCGACTCTGAGCTATGCTGGATGTGTTCAGCCCTCCACACACCCATATACAATAAGGAAGTGAATTCTAGGAAATTTAAATGTTATATTTTAAGCCTTAAGGGCAATAGTCAATCTATACGATTATCACAAAATATATTAGGCCAAATAAAATTTGTCCTTAGTTTGCTTTAAGCTGAAAGGGTCGAAAATGTTAAGGGGAAACGCTTCTGGAATGCTTCGATAGTAAAATTTTTGGATATTTGTGCGATTGGTTAAATGAGATTGGACAACTCTGCACATGCCTTGGCAATTCGGTGCCTGAAGCTAGCTATTCGCTTTAAGGCTCATATAATTTATAACACTTTAAAGATATAAGCGAAAACTAAGACTCTTCACCACAATAAATAAATCAAGTGAGCAAATGAGTAGGCTCAACGTAGGGTAAAGCATTCGTATAATGCCTTCAACTTCAGTTCAGTTTATGAAACTGTTACTCTTAATTGAACCAGATTCAAATGAGTAAAAGAAAAACGTTTCTGGGCAGAGTTCCTTCATATTCTGGAAGTTATTTATATAAGAACAAGGCTTAAGGCTTGATAAGGCTTCAATTTCCATATTCATCAATATGAAGCCAGCTTTGAGTACAAGCCTTCCTTCTACAGCTATGATTCTATTCCATATGCAAAACATAAGCACAAAAGTCTTCAAAATCTAGACTTAAAAATTCTCGTTCCATAAAACAACTTTTGACTTTGTCTCTTCTCAATGCAAATCAGTTTTTCTTAAGATTTAATTTAACTCAACATTTATCCATTCTCGAATGCCTTGAAAAATCTTTGAATTTCCTAGGCTTTGAGTTTCTTAGGCTGCCTATATTTCGCTGTGACTTTGCAAACAAAACGTCGGCAGCTCGATTCTGAAAGACATTTAAGATATTAGAAGGCATTACAGCTCACGAAATGCCTCAATGACTGAGTCTCTAAAAGTCTCATAAGGCACTTTAAAACAAACATTTGCGCAAAGATTAATTTTAAAGCATAAGCAAGACACAGAACTTTTACACTCTAGAGTTCAAATGAGAGTGCTCAGTTCAAGAAGCAGTTTGTATCACAAAAAGCATATGCCAAAAACTCTTAAAGTTTCTTGAGAATTCAGTCTTGACACAACAAAACTTCGAGTTCAACTCTTGCTTATTCAGCTCAATTCATTTTAAGGTAAAATTCTAACTTTTTCATTCCGGAATTGACTTTTTGTTGTTGTTTTTTTTTTTTTCTTAGAATTTTGACTTATTTAGACATTTTGTGAAATTAAGAAATTATTATGTAACGCAAAAGAAAATTTCATGCTCAGTCGATTGTTGAAATTTAAAAAGTTTTCGCGCACTTGTCATCTGTCCAGGCCACAAGCCGGATACGCGTGCAGCTTACGTTCCAAGCTTAATCCTCCGACGGAAAACAAAAATAAACAGCAATAAGCAGAGGAAGCAGACGCCTCGAAGGATGTAACACAACGACAGCCCCGATTAGCAATGACCATGATAGGTCTTCCCCTTCCCCTCGCCCACTCCATTCACCTTCAGCTTCTCTCCTTGCAGCTCAAGGACTTTTTGTATACATTTTGCAGCTTAAGTGTTTCACAATTAGCTGAAAGCTGTTTGACCATAACTGTAAATGACACTAGAAGCTTAAAAGCAGCTGAATCTTAGTCAGTTAAGTAGATACAAATATTTATATAAATATATTTATGTATAAATATATATATATATATATATATATATAATATAATA